GCAGGCCAAAAAGTAGGATTACAACCCTGGACTTCAGGAAAGCTAGCTTGGACCTCTCAACTTTGGCCTCTCCAAAGACATAGTTGGAGGAATCCCATGGGTGAACATGTTCCTGTGGGACCTGCTCTGGGTGACCCTGCTCTGGCAGAGGGTTGGACTGGGTGATCTCGAGACGTCCCTTCCAAACCCTACCATTCTGCAAATCTGTGATTCTTGGGAGTTATAACCTGATCCTCTCAAGTCACCATCACTACTGTAAGTGGGGAAAAAAATAATCTGTTTTTCCATTTCAGTAGTGTTTCTTATCAAAGGTAGCAAAGCTTGTTTTGTAATAATGCTATGGGGAGGACATTATTGCACGCTAAGGGCAAAGTCTGGTGGATTTGAAAGCTTGGTTAAGCGATAGGAAAAAGATGATAATGAACAACCGCTTATCAAGGCTCCAGGGAGGTTAGTCTGGCCGTGTGCCCAAGGCACCAGTAACAAACCTGCGCACACGTTTTAGCTAACGATCTGGAAGAGAAAACATTGGGTGCTTTGGCGTGGTTTTTGTTGACAGAGGAACCTGGCTTTGTAAGGTCCTGGTCAGAGGGCAAGTGGTGGGGGAGAAGTGCAACATCTGCTTATCTCCTGTGAAACCAGAACGCCTTCAGCCCGTGAGTAAACCCGCTGATGTCAGTGACCCTCTGATGCACCCCAGGCGAGACGGTCCCAGTCCCCAGGGTGCTCTGCTGAATCAGGAACTGGGTGCATGCCCTCTGTCACTCGCTGGGTTTATGTGGGAGAAGGGAAAAAAATAAAATAAACACTCCATCTTCTGGAGCCTTCCAGACCATGGGAGCTCGGCTGGACGGGATAGTGATGCGGGGAGACCACTGGCACAGCAAGGGGGGCACAGCCCTGTCACATCCATGGCATGCCCCAACCCCACGTGTGGCATGTACATCTCCCTGGGCCACCAGGGCAACATGCAGAGCACATGGGGATGTATTTCTGCTTGGAAAAACCTGAGGGGAAAGGCATTAGTCCTGTCCCCAGGGGCTGCAAGACAATAAAGGTGGAGGGGGAAAAGAAAACACAGCGGTGGGTTGTTGGTTTTCATTTTCTGCAGTATATTAAAGTCCCTGCTGTACTGTAGCTCTGGGTTGTTTCTCAGTGCACCTGAGACAATGTGAGTGGTACATCACACCATCCCATCTGCTTCCCTGGTGTTACAGGTGGAAGGGGGATGTTACAGCATACAGGGCTGTCACGTAGATTTTCCTCCAGGCATCCAGAATCTGGCTGGTTTACACCTCTCTTCTTTCCTGTAAAGTACCTACACACATTTTTGAAGTTACTCCATCTTCTTAAAACTAGGAGAGATGCGGGACATTCCAAGGCAAACACAAGCCTGCTAACACTCCAGTTTTACCATCACAGTCTGACCCAGCTGGGAACTGCCTTCCCTTACAAACTGGCCATTAAAAGCCAGTGGTACCACTGCCACAGAGCTGGGAGACAGGCTGTGTTATCTGTTAAATATAGACTCCATTATGAATGCCTTTTATATATATAAATAAAACTAGTGGTGAATTTTCACATTATTTACAGCTGAACAAAGAAAGATATTTTTAGAGGGTAGAGTGCACACTGATGAATTTTGAATTCTCACATCTACCCAATTTAGAAAGAATAAGGTGATGCACTGATTTTCAGCACTGTGCAAACTCTCAGCAGGTACAGCAGGGTTTCTCTCCCCTGCTACAGCTCTTTGACACAATATCAGAGCTGCTTTGCTCAACCCCATTTGGTAAGACTTAAAAGGGCAGAGGCCACTGCTTGCATTAAACTTCCTAGAAGAAAACAAAGACACTAGACAACCATTGAAAATATTTTATTACAAAATTATATCAACATCTACATCCAAGAAAAAGGCTTAAAACTCTAATACAGCTCTATTTTCAGGAATAAAAATTCAGTAAATGCCGAAAAAGGTACCGTATTATCTAGGTAGACAGCCCTTAAGTAATTTTTTTTTTTTTTTTTAATACAGAGAGAACCCATGTGGGTTCTAAGTGCTAACCCACACCTCGGTCTGCACTGGGATCATGCTCTGTGGCTGCAAACAGCCCTGCAGATGTGCTGCTTTGGGACAGGAGTTCCAGCCCCATTACAGATGTACAGAATGTCATGGGAACACAACTCACCTTCCAAGCATTACCAGGTGCAGACAGACAGCTATAGTTTGTGTTTACTTGACAACGACTACTTAGGTATGGTTTTGTGACCTTGTATTCAATACCAAAAAAAATAAAATTCAACAAATATTCAAGTATATTATGGCAGTGAAGGCAGCTTTTCCACACCTGTATATTCTAGACAGAAATATTTCATTTTTATTACCCTTTTCATTCACTGAGCTTAGATACATTATCTGGTGACCTTTGGTGACCACAGCTTATTCACTGGGATAAAACCAGCCTTGGTGCAGTACTGAAATCAGTAGCTGCCACCAACACTTCTAAATTTAGTTTTGAAAAGAAATTAAGCATATCAGAATACTATTTTTTTTTTCTATTGAGAAATCTACCCCAACAGGACTTCTAGAACACAAAGGTAGTTCCAGCTTTCTCTTTTCTATTTAAAAAAATATATTTGATATTCACAGTAGAGTACGGAGTGGCTTTTTTTTTTTTGTTTTTCAACAAATATAGATCTGCCCGAGAAAACTCCTATGACTGAGCAGGATGCTTTAAATACTGTACTTGCAACTTCTTGCAAAAGACCATATACACTTAAGATAAAATGCTAATGAATAAAAAAGTTCAAGTAATATTATACAGCCCTGATGAACTTTGGCCAGTCTGGCCATGTCCAATAGTTTAACTTCTATTTTGACATTAAGTGTACCTTGCTTACAAGGGGGAAAATGCACAAAGAAGATGGGAAAGATTGGGAATGGAGTATTTTCCTGACAGCTCCTTCCCACTGGCACTGTTCCTGTGACAATTCCTCATTATTTTGCTGCTCATGAAAGTTATTCTGTATTTTTTGATGCTGTTCAGATTTTGAGACTTCTCATTTCCTAAGCCCCTCCCATTGCAATGAACAGGTCTTAGAACAAAATCCTAGTTCCAACATCGCTCTTCCTAAATACCTTTCCTGAAGACCTTCAGTTGCTCATCACAGCTTTCCAGGTGCCAAACCCCCACATACCTCTTGGAGTTAGTGTGGTCCAGTACAAATGTGACCAAGTGACAGGTTCTGGTTTAAGTGTCCTGAGCCACTCTTCTTCTAACAGCATGACAAAGAGGAACCACAAGACCATGTTTCAAACATGCTGTTGTTCCTCACATCATGCTTACACACTACGTATCACCAAAACCTTTCCATTCAACTTGCATGTCTGACTTCAGTGCTTGGAAGATCCTCACTCACTGACTGGGCATATGCTTTCTGGAGTGCAGGGACATAAGGTAGATGTAGCCCAACCTTACAGCTGCTGTAACCAAGTAGTTTTCCATTGCTTTCCAGTAGCTTTCTAAAATATCCTGATTTCCTTCTTAGTTACCGTATGTATAGCCTCACTTCGCTAGTTTTTCCATGAACAGCTTAATATAAAAATCTAGCAATGTAACCCAGAGCAAGGCATCACATAAGAATTATTACTGGAATACTTTTTTTTTTTAAATGGGGCTTCCTTATACAGTCAGGCTGTATCTGAACGCTGTTCATAACATGGCAGTCTTGTAGCAAGGTAAATGGATTTTTTCCAAATGTTATAAATACAGCTTCAAAGTACAGACGTTATCTATCTACCTGAGAGGTTCTGTAAGAAGATGAACAGCTGATAACTAGTCTAGCAGAAAAATATACACCAACGTAACTGACATTTACCAGTATTCAGAATTCAAGCGTTAAACAGGACTCAAAAATCGCACACTTCTACCACATCAAGTCTTTGATCAGAAGAAAAAAGATAGTGTGATTTTCCTCTATCCACACCTCTCCTTTAAAGACATATGTGCTCCTATTTTCCTCACCCTGAAGTCCACAGCAAGGTTTCCCATTCAGTGTGTACAGCCTGGGCTATAACATCCTCATCTTCTTCCTCTTCTGCCAGTCCTGAAACTTGCTTGTTTGGAGGTAGAGGAATCCTTCCAAATACCAGTCTTTTTTTTTGTTTTGTTTTCTTTTTTTTGAGAAGCCAGCTTGATCCCCTTGGGTCCCTGGATACCAACTTCTCTTCAGACAGCCGCGCTCTGCTTCGACACGTCCTTTGGGCCTTTACTGGGGACACACCAGTCATCCGCTTCTGAGGTAGCCTGGTAATGCTTGGAAGCTGATTTGTTAAAAACTGGGAGCTTTTCTACTGATTCTGTTGATAGGGCCTAAATATCAAAAAGAAAAAAAGGTTACTTGGCTTCTCCCTCTCAGTAACACCACTTTGCAAAAATTCAGGCAGCGCGTTCCAAGAGTTACGCCACAAAATAAAGGTATTTACATAAATGCTGCGACAGCAGATGCAGTAGTTTGTGTGTTTCAGTATCTATGTTTGCTTTGGACATTTTGGCAGCGTACAGTAACATCAAGTTATATTGACACATTTTTATAGGCCTTAGAGTTACCCTTTAACCTGTTTTCAAGATAATTCTGGAAGCCATGGAAAAGAACTGGAATTTTGTACATGTAAGAGAAACTTTAAAATACAATCCTTTCCCGCTTCCATGTTCTACAGCTAAAAAAAGAGTAACTCATGTTCTGTTGGGAAATTGTTAAATAGGAATGAGATATATATATATATGGAGATATATATCTCTATCTGAATTGCCTCTTCCTTCTGTTCTCCTTTTCTGTCCCTCCCTTCTGCTCCTCTGGCTGTGCTTCCACGTGCTTAGAACCATGCTTTTGGTTTAGTAGAAGGAATTCAAAGCAACTTTTTTCCCCCTGAACAGGACTTCTAGAACACAAAGGTAGTTCCAGCTTTCTCTTTTCTATTTAAAAAAATATATTTGATATTCACAGTAGAGTACGGAGTGGCTTTTTTTTTTTTGTTTTTCAACAAATATAGATCTGCCCGAGAAAACTCCTATGACTGAGCAGGATGCTTTAAATACTGTACTTGCAACTTCTTGCAAAAGACCATATACACTTAAGATAAAATGCTAATGAATAAAAAAGTTCAAGTAATATTATACAGCCCTGATGAACTTTGGCCAGTCTGGCCATGTCCAATAGTTTAACTTCTATTTTGACATTAAGTGTACCTTGCTTACAAGGGGGAAAATGCACAAAGAAGATGGGAAAGATTGGGAATGGAGTATTTTCCTGACAGCTCCTTCCCACTGGCACTGTTCCTGTGACAATTCCTCATTATTTTGCTGCTCATGAAAGTTATTCTGTATTTTTTGATGCTGTTCAGATTTTGAGACTTCTCATTTCCTAAGCCCCTCCCATTGCAATGAACAGGTCTTAGAACAAAATCCTAGTTCCAACATCGCTCTTCCTAAATACCTTTCCTGAAGACCTTCAGTTGCTCATCACAGCTTTCCAGGTGCCAAACCCCCACATACCTCTTGGAGTTAGTGTGGTCCAGTACAAATGTGACCAAGTGACAGGTTCTGGTTTAAGTGTCCTGAGCCACTCTTCTTCTAACAGCATGACAAAGAGGAACCACAAGACCATGTTTCAAACATGCTGTTGTTCCTCACATCATGCTTACACACTACGTATCACCAAAACCTTTCCATTCAACTTGCATGTCTGACTTCAGTGCTTGGAAGATCCTCACTCACTGACTGGGCATATGCTTTCTGGAGTGCAGGGACATAAGGTAGATGTAGCCCAACCTTACAGCTGCTGTAACCAAGTAGTTTTCCATTGCTTTCCAGTAGCTTTCTAAAATATCCTGATTTCCTTCTTAGTTACCGTATGTATAGCCTCACTTCGCTAGTTTTTCCATGAACAGCTTAATATAAAAATCTAGCAATGTAACCCAGAGCAAGGCATCACATAAGAATTATTACTGGAATACTTTTTTTTTTTTAAATGGGGCTTCCTTATACATAGAAAACACTTTCTCCCTCCCTTCCAGTCAGGCTGTATCTGAACGCTGTTCATAACATGGCAGTCTTGTAGCAAGGTAAATGGATTTTTTCCAAATGTTATAAATACAGCTTCAAAGTACAGACGTTATCTATCTACCTGAGAGGTTCTGTAAGAAGATGAACAGCTGATAACTAGTCTAGCAGAAAAATATACACCAACGTAACTGACATTTACCAGTATTCAGAATTCAAGCGTTAAACAGGACTCAAAAATCGCACACTTCTACCACATCAAGTCTTTGATCAGAAGAAAAAAAATAGTGTGATTTTCCTCTATCCACACCTCTCCTTTAAAGACATATGTGCTCCTATTTTCCTCACCCTGAAGTCCACAGCAAGGTTTCCCATTCGGTGTGTACAGCCTGGGCTATAACATCCTCATCTTCTTCCTCTTCTGCCAGTCCTGAAACTTGCTTGTTTGGAGGTAGAGGAATCCTTCCAAATACCAGTCTTTTTTTTTGTTTTGTTTTCTTTTTTTTGAGAAGCCAGCTTGATCCCCTTGGGTCCCTGGATACCAACTTCTCTTCAGACAGCCGCGCTCTGCTTCGACACGTCCTTTGGGCCTTTACTGGGGACACACCAGTCATCTGCTTCTGAGGTAGCCTGGTAATGCTTGGAAGCTGATTTGTTAAAAACTGGGAGCTTTTCTACTGATTCTGTTGATAGGGCCTAAATATCAAAAAGAAAAAAAGGTTACTTGGCTTCTCCCTCTCAGTAACACCACTTTGCAAAAATTCAGGCAGCGCGTTCCAAGAGTTACGCCACAAAATAAAGGTATTTACATAAATGCTGCGACAGCAGATGCAGTAGTTTGTGTGTTTCAGTATCTATGTTTGCTTTGGACATTTTGGCAGCGTACAGTAACATCAAGTTATATTGACACATTTTTATAGGCCTTAGAGTTACCCTTTAACCTGTTTTCAAGATAATTCTGGAAGCCATGGAAAAGAACTGGAATTTTGTACATGTAAGAGAAACTTTAAAATACAATCCTTTCCCGCTTCCATGTTCTACAGCTAAAAAAAGAGTAACTCATGTTCTGTTGGGAAATTGTTAAATAGGAATGAGATATATATATATATGGAGATATATATCTCTATCTGAATTGCCTCTTCCTTCTGTTCTCCTTTTCTGTCCCTCCCTTCTGCTCCTCTGGCTGTGCTTCCACGTGCTTAGAACCATGCTTTTGGTTTAGTAGAAGGAATTCAAAGCAACTTTTTTCCCCCTGTGAGTAGTGGCAAAAAGCAGAAAATAATACATAGGCCTTTTTTCCGAGTTACTGGTGTATGCCAGGTATTTGAGGTTACCAATACCTGAATCCCATACAGGGGCTACATGGCAGACGTGGAATAGGAGCAGGAATCTAGTACCTGCTTCTAGATTCTTTAAGGCTTAGTTTGTATAGACTTTGTGTCAGAGTAAAGAAACCAGATCTGCTGCTCACACCTTTCTCTTACTTCACTTTCTCCCAGTACTTTGTATTTCATGAACCAGTAGGTACCAAATCTTAACACAATCTAAAAACTCTAGTTTCTCTCACTAGTAGTTATCTAAACAGACTAGTTAAAGCTGAGGGACCTTTCTAATTCTACATACCAACTCCAAACCTCACCAACATTCCTTAATGAAAGTGAGAGCTTTTCTACTCATGAGCAGAGAATTTGTTCACATTAAAATAGCACTAAGTAGTCACCTCACTGCATTAATGGTAGTTATCAACACTATCTTATTTAACCAAATCAAAATACATACCTTCAAGTAGATAATAGCATCTGTTCCATAACCACATATGGAGTAGAGGTTTAGATCTCCTTGAAAGTATTTAGCATACAGGCGAGAAATTGGCAAGCCATACCCAAAGCCAGCCTAAAAATAAAATACAAGACAAGATTAATTTGTTTTTTACTAGCACTTATGACTTATAATTAAACAGCTGGAAAGCACTCTGTGATTTTAAACTATTAATAAGTGCAAAGGGCTTTCTAGTCTCTTAGAAGAAACCAGAAATCTCTAGTCAGTTTCATACACAACATTAAAACTGACCATTAAAAAAGCCCCAAAACCACTACAAAGAAAAAAAAACAAGTCTCCATAAAAGTGGAAGGATTTACATATGCCTCTTAAATGGATGTATTTTCCCTGCCTTGTTTTTGCTAGTACAACTTGATTAGAAAAGGGAGTTTGCTACTGGCAGATAAACAGCAATTGTCTGGGCCTGTTCCAGTTGTGCTCCATGAAGGCAGCACAGTTTATAGCAAGCCTGAGGACAGCGTGGGAGTGAAGACCAAGTAAACTACAGTCATCAGAGTATCAGAAAAAAACCACCAAACAGAAAAACCAGGGTTATATTCAGAGTAGAATGATGTTCTTCTTTCTTTTATCTTTAAAAGCGTATTTTTGTCCACCAAGCTCAATATTAAAAGCCTGATTCAGAAAGCGTTCATTCGTATTTATGAGGCTTGATAATCTTTACACACCCCGCAGAGCAGTAGGGTGAACAGAGTTTTGTAATTTATTAACCTACCAGTCAGTCCAAACACTTCTAGCAGCTTTACCAGTAACACAAGCACTGAAAATATCTTACCAGAGGGGTGTTTCGGCCGTCGTCCATCCTGGGCCGCGGGGCCGTGGAGTACATGTAGCTGAAGAGCTGCTCGATTTTCCTGACAGGAACACCACCTCCTCTGTCCGAGATCTGAGTTGAGAGAGAATGAAGTTAACTACAGTCAGGTACTAAGAATGGTATTTAAAATGCTGCTATTTGAACAAACCCTTCCATCATGGATAGTATCTTTGATCTGCTGTGAGAGGCTGCAAGTTCTTACAGACTTTGCAGCAGAATATGCAATCACAGAGACTACATTAAGCCCATACTGGAGTAGACCAACAAAGTACCTTAATTGCCAGGTCTTCTTGTCCCAGAACAACTGTCACTTCAACTGGAGAAAGGGAAGGGCTGTTTTCTTGGAACTCAACAGTTGCCCTCATTGAATTCTATGGAAATGAAGGGTACCATTATCAGAAAGTGTTGCATTTATGCACTTAAAATCATACCCCAGTTATGCAGAGGCTGAGCAGGGTTACCCTCCATTCCCACCAGTGCCCAGCTTCCCAGGAAGAGGAGCAAAAGGGGCCTCATATCTACAAGTGACCAAGCACAGTCAAGACTTCTGTGCCTGAAGAATGACACTGTTCTTGCCCAACATAGCCCAGCCAGTGGAAATTAAATGTAACTCCCTGAAAGTCAGAGTTGAGCAATGGCTAAAAGCTGCCTGAATTCTGCACCTCTCATCGGAAGCATGTGAGCTTGGCTACCTCAAGATGCATCACCTACTCCACAAAAGGCAGTAAAATCCCTGAAAAGGGATGGCTGGTTGTGGTCACAACACCACATCCCACTTTTACTCTCTCACTCCCTTCTCCTGTCCCATTTACACCCCACAAATACCTCCAAATACCCAAATACTCTCCTACAAACTGCAATCCTTCCTTTCCCCACCACCAAAGCTATTTCCTCAGATAATTAAATTTTAGAGGTCTCACTGTCTTATGCACAGCTTTACTTCATTCAGATCTAGTTGGATATTTTAAATATTGATGCTCCAGCTCAGAGTACTAAGGGAAGAAATAATGTGTACTGACATACCTTAAAGAGCTCAAAGAGCATGTGAAAGAGATGAGATGGAACGTATACGATGTTAATTGGCTCTCCTGGATGTTTTCCTAGAGGAAAGGGGAGAAAAAAAAAAAAAAGACAAACAACATTTAAAATGGTGATGGAATTTCTGTATTGTATCCAATTTTTACAATAAGCAAGTTGGATCTCAAAACAAACAAGAAATCAAGTCTTAGTTTGGGGTTCCCCCCTCCCCTCCAATGAGCAAACAACTTTATGGACTCATAACAGTATTTAGATTGTAATTGCCACTTGCTTAAAACCAGTTTATTTTGAAAATCTGGTCTTTAAGACACAATGACACTTGAGTTCTAATGCAGGGGATTAAATGAGGTGCTCACAACAGAAAATGACAAGGAACTAACCCAAGACAGATCAACTGGTGTGTTACAGCTATGGAATTGGGAGCCTTTGGACTGAATCAAAAAAGCAGCAGTAAAAAGCAGGAAAAGCAGGAGTTTAGCTGCTGACAGGAAGACAAACATTAAAGCTCTCATCTTACCATTCACTTGGGTAAGCTTCAGTTCTGGAGACGTTAAGTAATACTGGTCACACAACATCTTGGAACTCTCAAAAGCATCTGAAATATTTATTTAAATAAAACACATCACATCAAACACTGTTGAAATGCATTCTAACACACAGCAAAATGATTTTTAACTGCACTGGCTGCTGAGGTGTTAGAGACTGACCAAGCCTGTGCCTCAGAGGAATGGTAATACTGCACCCACTGTGCACTAAAACAGAGCAAATTGGCCATTCCAGCAGCACAGGCAAACCTTCTGAAGTTTGGTAACTCTGCAGAACAGATGCACCAGTGGGTATGATCAGTGGGTAAGACCAATCCCAACACCAGCAACAACTTTAACTCCTACCTCATCTCTCACTCTGCCTTACCTCAACACAGCTTTTAGTTCTAGTTTGTATTTTAAATTATGTCCTATAAAAGCCTGTGTTTGACTATTTGGATAGGCTGCTTCCAGCTATTTCAGTAATAAACAGCCAGCATCTTAATACCACAGGCGTTGGTTTCCTGAATTACTGCAATCAGATCTAAATGCTGCTGGTGAAGAGAAATGTTGAGGACGTGAGAATACCTACCATTCACCACTTCAACGACATCACAGCAAGGATCAATACTCCCAATGTGCCTTGGGTGTCCTGAGCCAGATTTATCATCAAAAAGAAGAGCTGTTTAAAATGAAAACAAGGCTATGTTTAATCCCAACTACTCTACTATTTTTAAAAAGTATTAAATTTAGACTCATACAGCGTGATCCCAAGAGTCACAAAATACCGAGTGCTGTTTCTGCCTTTTGCGAGTTAAAAATGCCATTTATTGCCAGCAAACTGTTTTGGCTTTTCTGTAGTTCAACATCTGAAGGCCTTTGAGGTGTAAAGAACAAGACCCCCCACATATTCCACACACAACTTAACTACAATTACTCTAGAAAACAAGTTTTCCCATTACTTTCCCAAGTCACACATTCTATTTCTGACTTTCCAGTGTCACAGCACGTCACCCGAGGCAGATCACCAGCACTTATCAGAAATGTTTACATTAACACATTTCTCAGCAGGTTGGAGTTTTTCCTCAGGCAAAACTTTCTACTTACTGTGCTGGTTCATTAGCATCCGGGTGGAAATACGGCTCATGTAAAAACGATCCAGGAAATACTGAATGTTTTGATTGGTGACAGGGTCTACTTTAAAAGTGTCCTTGTATTCGATTACTCCTTGTGCCATTGTAGGAACCACATCATGGTGTCTGTTTCGGACTCTAATTAATGTATCTATAAAACTAGACCAAGAAAAAAGAGATCTTTTTAGAACATTACTCTAAGCCTACATGGAGACAAGCTTTGTACAGTGTCATTACCTAACCCAGCAGCACAAATAAGGGCATAACACCCGTAATCTTAAAATACAACCTATTATTTCATTCTTTTAGAAGTAATTCCTCACTGACCTAAACCAGAAGAGTCTGGTATTTTTGATACAAAAAGTGTGATCACTACCCACGTCAAATTCACTGCCTGTTTACTCCTTCATAACAGTTTGAGCAGTGAATGTGAGGAAGGGAAAGAGCCCCCCGGTGATGCCTTGGAAAGAAGCAGGACGTGACATCCCAGATAGTTGTTGTTATTTCTGTTGTGACAGCTCAAGGGACAGTATGCCCTTGAAACTGAGCTGCAACAGGTCTTATTTATTTGCAATGTTGCTAAACATGAGCAGAGATTTAAACCAGCTTGCTCTATGCACAGCACTTTGCGCTGGATTATCAAATCAAGCTCCTGAGATCTGTCATTCTAAACTGGGCACGTTAGGAAAAGCAGAATGTGAGACTGAATAGTTCAAAAAGTGAAGCGCTTACTCAGATAAGACTTTTTGGTCATCTGGGCTTTTCTGATGGAACTCGACAAGCTCCATTAGGCTTTGGATGTACCTGTTGAAAAAGAGAACAAGGAATATATGTTATTCATTTGATTTTTATTAGTCTGGGAACAGGAAAAATAGTTTGTTTGAATCATTACTCTTACAAGTCAGCTGGCAGTTTGAAGTATCTTGGAATTATTAAAAGTTCTGAGTATGGAATCACAGATTGATACTTCTTGACTGCCTGAACCTTAGAAGTTTTAGAAGTCTTTTCTTGTGCCTGCCACCCAGAAAGGAATCTAGACCCTCACTTTGGGTATGCAGGATCTCCTTACCATTCTTAAGAGAGGTGTTTTAAAAGAAGATCCAAATGGCAATATTGATTAGGAAGCCACTTAAGCAAGTTTTTTCCAAATCCAATCAGCTTTGGCACGAGCTAAGTACTTGAGCCTCTTGTGCCAGCATCTGACAGCCCTGACGCACACCGCAGGGGCAGAAGGGTTCACTGGCACAACAACAGTTCATGGAGCTGTAACACTTTTGCCCTTTATGCCAGCCACCCTTGCAAACACTGCAGCCCGGCCAGTAAAGCATGGGCCAGTAAATCAGACTCAGGCACTGGGTCAGCCAGAGAGATTGCATCAACCCAATTCCCAACCCTTGGAGCACCAGCCAAGGTAAGGCACCATGGAACAGCAGCTCTGGAGTAATCCCACCAGTGACAGCCTCAAACCAGCCCAGAGCCTGCTCTCCCATTTTGGTGTGGCTGCAGTGCCACGTGAAAACAGAGCATGTTCTCTTCTCCCCCTTCTTAAAGGGTAAGAAGTGAGATTTGCTCTACCAGCTATTTCAAAGTGTTATTTTCTTTTTATTATTTAAAAATACCAATCTAACCATGCAGGTTAGCAATTTAATTTCAGTATGCTAGAAAAGGACAGTGTCAAACGGCTTGCAATTCAGCAGAGGAACTGCATTTCTAGTCTATTTTGTTTATTGTGCTCTCCTATTCAGAGAAGCCTGAGACAACAGAGTCATCCAGCTGAATTCAAGCAGCTCTTACTTACCAGCTTTTTACTAATTGGACTGATGGAGTTCCTAGTAATTTATCGGGAAGAAGATCAATCTCTTTCAGGATGTTTGCAAACCTCACGGGGAGCTCTTGGCGCAAAAACGCAAATGAAGTTCTCTCGCAGCCATTAGTGGAGCCTGGAATAAATCCAAACCACAAAGTTTGGTAAGAAAAGAGAAGTTTGAAGGTGCCTTTGCACAGGC